TGTAATGAGTGCTATGTGTGACATACATATGTTATATTTATTTTCTTAAGGACTATGCATGCTAGATTGAAAATATTTGATGTGATGCCTTTATATTTATTCTTGTGTGATATATCTTGTCATATGCATCACAGTTTTACTTTGTCACATACACATGCACCCCACGGATGCAATGATTTAGGGGGAGTCTCCTATATGTTTTAGTATGTGCAATTAACATTTGAGGTCATTTTGTGAATTCTAATAATAAGCACATATTAAGGGGGAGCCTCTCATAAATCATTGAACCAAAAAGCTTAAATGTTTATATTCTTTTATAAGCTTTAATCAAGTTGTCATCAATCACCAAAAAGGGAGATATTGAAAGTGCATCTAGCCCTTTAGTGGGTTTTGGTTGATTGAATGACAACGTGATTAAAGGTCTAACCCGTTTGCTAAGTGTGGACAGGTAATAGGTTATCTCACAGGTACTTAATAAAAGCCAAAATAATGTGTTGTTGTATAAACAATCTAGTTCAAGCACAAGATAATAATACACATGGAATTCATGCAAAGGTTTATTTATTGTGGGATTTCCATGTACTATGTGAAAGTAAGCTCGTAAGAATTAATTAATGAGACATGAGGGATTGCATATGGAATGGTCTCATATTTGAAGCTTACTAAATTGAAATGAAAAGATAATAATACAAATGAATTGATGATTCAACACAAGATGTGACTTGATGGCTTGAGATGGTGAAGATAGCAAGGAAAGGCTTTGAGGTACTAAACAAGGGTGAAGGGCAAGCGACGGCTTGGTGGCCGAAGAACCTAGCTAGGGTGAAGAAGGAAGTACCGACATTTAGTTGAGGTACTAATCAAGCTATGATGGTCATGTTAATGTGGAGGATCAAATCACTATTGGAGTGTTTGATGGAAGTGACTTGATACATTTGGGATTATTCAAATTTGATGAATGGAATCAAGTCACGTGCTCAAGATGGCTATGCTCAAGTGAAAAGATCAATATCAACATGTTGGCACCCTCACTTGATGAAGATTGGAATACACGGCTTCGGTTGAAAGAGATCAACTCAAAAGGTTTAAATTTGTTATACTCTTTAAATTTGAGTTAATAGGAATGCCATACTATTAAGAGGGATGCATCATGTTGATAGATAATGTTTCATAAGTGCTCAAGCCAACCCATGTGAGTTTTGAGTGTTTGAGAGACAAAAGAAGCTAACTGATTTTTTGCTGGTCTGGCAATACCGGACGTGTCCGGTATGTGCCCAGCCGTGAGAAAATTCTTGTTGTTCTCGGGTTGGTTCGTCGGGAGTTCCGACGTTTTGCGCTTAACTGACTTAGAGAGTTCACTGTCCTGGTCATACTGGACGTGTCCGGTATTCATACCAGACGTGGACGGCTAGAGGCCAACGGCTAGTTTTCAAATGCCTTGAGGGTCGGGAGTTCCGACGGTCGGAAGTTCTGGCATGCGTCGGGAGTTCCAACACCTCGCAAACTTCAACTCAGTTACTTAGTTTTCAAATATGCTGAGGGTCGGGAGTTTCGACGCCTCACATTGTCACTGTAACTTAGTTACCGTTGGGACAATGTAAGTCATACCGGACGTGTATGGCTACGGCTATAAAACGGTTAGTTTTTCCAAAGGGGCTATAAATACCCCCAAGCCTCCACCTTTGGAGGCTGCTCATTTTGCTGATACATACACACATTTTTGAGCCTTGCCAACTCTCCCAACCCTCTCTTAGTGGGTGATTGATCAAATTTGCCAAATCAAATTGTGGGTTGAGTGAAATTCAAAAAGAGAGCAATCCAACCACTTGAGCACTTGTGCATATTATTAATCTCGTGATTTGCATTTGTTACTCTTGAACTCTTCGTCCTAGATGGCTAGACGTCGCCGGAGAGCACCCGAGAGATTGTGGTGTGCCTCGGAAAGTTTGTAACGATCGATTCCGTCGCCTTGGAATCAACTAGTGGAAGGAGGAAAAGGAGTTGAAAAAAACTCCGGCTAGAGTGACCTTCGTGGTAACCTTTAGGGCTGACCTTCGCTGGGTCGCCCACAGCCCCCTCAACGGAGAGTAGGACTCGAACGAGTCCGAACTTCGGTAAAACAAATATCGTGTCTCAATTCGCATTTCATTCGATATTTGTGTTGCTCTAGCTCTTGTGCAGGTTCTCAGTGTATATTGTCATCTCTAGTAGGTGCCTGCATTTTGGTTTGAAGATAGAAATCGAAAGGAGCAATTTCAGGGCTGATCTGCAAAAATCGTGTATACCGGACTCGTCCGGTATTCGTACCGGACACGTCCGGTATTAGAGCTCAGGGCAGAATATTATTTGATTTCTGTTCTAACTTTGTGTTACAGGGTTGTAGCTTATAGATATATTCTTTATACCTTGTTTACTCTGTGACTAACTTGTGAGGGGTGGTATTACTCTTAATTTGGAGTTTCCATTTTGGAAACTCTCTTTTCTAATTGTTTCCGCATTTAAAGGTGTCAATTTTTAGAAACGCCTATTCACCCCCCTCTAGATGGTATCCTAGGTCCTTTTAGAGTGGGCTATGGACAGAGCGGGCGCGGCGGCTTGGCTCCTAGTTGGAAAGCACGACAGCGGCGACGGCAAACCTCCCATGGAAGTGCGTGGCAACGACCTTCCCAGCATGCGCCACTCGCCTCCAGCGAGGTCACGACTCCATCCCAGCAAGGCCACGCGCCCATCCTAGCAAGGCCGTGAGCCACCGACGAGGCCGCGCCACTTGTCCCCGGCGAGGCCACGCGCCCGTCCCAGCAAGGCCGTGAGCCCCCGGCGAGGCCACGCCCGCCCCCATCGAGGCCGCACTCGCCCCCGACTAGGCTGCGCTCACCCCACGCTCGAGATGTGGGCGGGCTCGGGATCCAGAGGATGGCGGGACGCGGCCTCCCCACCAGCTCGGGGGTGCGCGGTGCGCGCGTCGACGTGGTAGCGTGGCCTCCATCACCATGGCGGCGGCGTGGCCTCCCCCACCACCGCGGGGGCGCAGGAGCGCAGAAGCTGGGTCTCTCACAGGCCGCCACGACCCTGAGCTCGCACAGCGTGGCGAGGAGTTGCGGCTGCGGCGCCGATGACCCGGTGGTGGCTTCAGCGGCGGCGTGGACCTGCGAGACCAGCGCGGCGACGGCGGCGCGGTCAGCGCTTGGGTGTGTGGACGCGGTCGACGCCATCGGCGGCATTGAGCGCGCACCGGGACTGGATGAGGCAGCACAACGGGAGGCTCGCTCGGGCCAAACCAGCTCGTGACGCCGCACAGGAAAAAAAGAAAGATAGAGAGGAAGAAGAAAGTGACAAGGGTAAGAATGACATTTCCCCATATTTCTCTCTCCTCAGTAGGTGGAAATGAATAAAATATGAGGCGCGGTGTCCAGCAGCATAATTATCAGTGACGAGAGTGTCTTCCAGCGAATGACTCAATTTTGGGTATCCGTTAGCCAACGACCTCTGCTTTCAGTGTCCGGTATACAATTGCCCCTTAAAATAAAGAATATTTGCTCTATAATATATAACAATTTAAATTTAAATAAAAAGAATAGGGTAAGAGTGACTAGAGGATTGGAAGACCTGCGGCCCATCAGCTAAGGCGTTAGGCCCAGACCAAAAGTTCATTTTGGAAAGGAAAACTGCCTCCACTGTCCAGCGTCCATTCCACTCAACGGGGCCAGCACAAGTGCGGGAGGTGCTAGGGTTCTTAGAAATTCCCCAAATCCTCGGCCGCTTTTGCTTCCTCGGCACCGGCCAGCTGCGACGTCGTCGATTCCGACCATCTCCGGCGGCTGGTACATGTTCGTTTATACTGAACCTTTCAAGAGGCATTGAAAGCAACACATGGTAACAGAAGATTAAACAGCCCGCCGGCTCAAGCTGTTTTGTTGTGAGAGAAAAATACTGTAGATTCTAGCTGATAACCCGGGTGATAAGTTCAAGCGAACAGGCCAGAAAGCTCTGCCACATGAACCTCAAAACCGTCTAGTGATGAAAAGTACATGACTGAGCATAGCTTTTTTATATATGCTGCTTGATTGTGCCTATAATATTGCTTCGCTGTAGGCCTGTTCTCTGTTGCTGCAGCTAATAGTTGTTATGGTACTTTAACAGCTACTTAGTTTTACTGTACACGTTAGCTGTATACTAGAAAGACACGGCGCGGCTTTGCTGCGCCTTTGTGTGTTTCTTTTTTGAATTGAATTGTTTTTTGAATTGTGCGCCTTTGTTGGTGTGCCCTTGTTGGGTACGACGCCATGGACGATGGATTTTTGTTTTGCCAAGACATTTGGGATGCAGATGTTTATTTAGGACCCTAGTTAGGATACAGCAATCCATGGTCGATTGGAAATTGTGAAGTTGCTGAAATCTAATTAAAATTCTTATACCTTAATATATTGAACATTGTCTAGGTAAAGTCACAAAATTATGTGTAGCGACATATTGTAAAAAGTTAAGTAACTCTTCTTAGATACGAATATAAGATCCTATTGCTTTTGTACGAGTTCTCAAGCAAAATGTTTGCTTATCATGTGGTAGTGGTGGCTAGCTAATGAAACCAGGTCTCCGTGAAGTTCGCTTGCAGTTGTGAAAAATGATTCATGTTTCTCTTTGTGATGTAATTTAAAAACTCTGCTTCTATTGACAATATTGTTGTAAAACCTACTGATAAAAGTTCAACTGTGTATGTAGAGAAAGCCTTGCATTTGCTCTGCATAGAAAACATGAAGAAAAGAATGAAATGCTGAAACATTGTGATTCTCTCAAATGAAAACAAATCTATTGTACTAAAAGGCTGTTGAATTGACCAGGTTTTCGATCCGGCTGCCTCTTCCCACTTCCATTTGGTCGAGAACAAGGTTTTGTTTACGATAGCAGTGCGCATCTACTCGTCTAACTCTGGGGTGTGGAGTCCTATCAGAATAGACTCGAGTGACCTTCGCTTGCGCAGGGCCAGCGCGTATGCTAATGGCATGGTGTATGTGGTCTTGTATGGGGGAATGAATCGGATACTTGTGATGGATGTGGAAGGCAACACAAGGAAGACCATCCATGTTCCCTTACAGGAGGGCGATGAGTTCAGGCTGTGTTATGATTATGTTGGCCAATCCCAAGGGCGTTTGCATTTGATTTACCATGCTGACCTTGACCTGGATTATGATGACACCCCAGAAAATCAGAATTATGAACTGGTCATATGGGTTCTTGAGGATTATGATACAGAAGAATGGGTCCTGAAGGACACTGTAAGCTCTTTGTAGCTCTTTGGATCGATAAGTCCTGGAACGACCAATGACTTCGAAGTGGTTGCAATTCATCAAAATCACAATTTGGTATTTCTTATTCAGCACTATAAAGATGAGCTCATATCATATAACATGGATAGCAAGGAAGTGTGCCGTCTCTGCACTCTTGATCCTGGCTGTGTGCCCATCTTTCCATATGTGCCCTACTTCTTAGAGTTGTCAGCGCTTGAAAATAAGCACTGAATTTATTGCTTTGTGGGCTACTTATTGGGACGTTCAGCCAAACTCAGATCTTCCTGTTATGGTGTACCGCAGCTTGGGTAAATTTAGTAGGATTGGGTGATACGAACTGATGCTTGTGCCTCGATTGGTTGTGTATGTGGTCCAGTTAATACTGCAAACCCGGTCAGACATTTCCCTCTACTAAGCACTTCAGTCTCGCGCGTGCCTACGTCACCTGGAATTCATCGCCCTGTTCGTTTGAGCTTGTTTGGCTGATAAGTCATGACTATAAGTATTGTTGGCTGATTTGGTATGAGAAAAAAAATACTATTTATTAACTAAAAATGTACACAAACCAAACAAGCCCAGCGAACAGGGCGCTTACGTGCAGCAACATTGCCCCGGTCAGACAAGGTGCTAGGGTTTAGAATTTCCCCAATTCCTCTGTCGATTTCGCTTCCTCGGCACCGTCCAGCGCCGCCACCGTCATTCGGCCCCAGCCATCTCCGGCGTCGGTACGCTTCCCTGCTGGCTGGTACGTTCCGCTTGCCTCCCCGATGCTGCATTCTCTCTCTCTCTCTCTCGCAAGTGCATCTTCATTCAAATTCCCCGTCTCGATCTGCCGGTTCGCAGATTGCTCGCGGTGACATGGACTGCTCCAAGAGGAGCGTGGGCGCGGTGGCCGGCCTCCCTGACGACACCCTGGTGGAGATCCTCTCCCGCGTTCCGTTTAAGTCACTCTGCAGATGCAAGTGCGTCTCCAAGGCCTGGTGCGACCTCATCACTGACCCCCTCAACCGCAAGAAGCTACCTCAGACCCTAGAAGGGTTCTTCTTAGTTGTTGACCGCTGCGTCGACGACTCCGACAGTGACGATGGAGATGGCGAAGACATCGGTAGTGATGGAGGCAGCGACAACTCTGACAGTGATGATGGAGATGGCGAAGACAGTGGTAGTGATGCAGGCGGCAAAAACTCCGACAGTGATAATGGAGACGCTGAAGTCAGCGGCAGTGATGGAGGCGGCGACGATAGCCACAGTGCCAATACAGATGGTGAAGACAAGAGCGGTGACGATGGAGGTGGCGACGACAATGACAGTGATGATGGAGATGGTGAAGACAGCAGTAGTGATGGAGGTGACAATGACAACTTGCAACACCAAGTCTGTGTGCATTTCATCGACATGTTAGGGAGACCCCCGCGTCCTGTGGGCCATTGCTTCCCGTTCCTGACTGAGCTGCCAGGCATTGTGAACATCTGTGTCTTGGATGACTGCAATGGCCTCCTCCTCTTTGGCTGTATCCAGGGATCAGGCGAATCACTTAGCAAGAGCTATATCGTGTCCAACCCTGCGACTGAGCAATGGGTCGTTGTGCCTGACCCTGACATGAAATGGCTGTCGTTCGCCTATTTGGTTTTTGATTCGGCTGCCTCTTCCCACTTCCATTTGGTCCAGAGCAGGGTGGACATGATACCAGTGCACATCTACTCGTCTAAATCTGGGGTGTGGAGTCCTGTCAGAAGTGACTGGAGTGACCTTCGCATAGCACCTGGCTTAGGCATCGCATATGTTAATGGCATGCTGTATGCGGTCTTGTCTGTGGGGGATCAGATAGCTGTGATGGACGTGGAAGGCAACACAAGGAAGATCATCCCTGTGCCCTTTCAGGAGGGCGATGAGTTCCGGCCGTGTTCTGATTATGTTGGCCAGTCCCAAGGTCGTTTGCATTTGATTTACCATGCTGACCTGGGTCATGATGAAATCTCCCCAGAACAGCAGAGTAATGAATTGTTCATATGGGTTCTTGAGGACTATGATACAGAAGAATGGGTCCTGAAGGACACTGTAAGCTTTTTGAAGCTGTTTGGAAAGATAACTGGCCAAACGATCGATGGCTTCGAAGTGGTTGCAATTCATCCAGATCACAATTTGGTATTTCTTATTCAGCACTTTAACCAGGAGCTGATATCATATAACATGGACAGCAAGGAAGTGTGTCATCTCTGCACTCTTGGAACTGGCTTTCAGTTTATCGCTCCATATGTTCCTTACTTCAAAGAGTTGTCAGCACTTGAAAATAAGCACTGAAAATTGTTGCTTGTGGGCTACTTATTAGGACGTTCATCCGAAATCAGAGTTTCCAATTATGTTGTACCTGGCAAATTGAGTAAATGTAGTAGGATTCGGTGAAACCTTTTACTGGTGCTCCAATTGGTTATGTTTGTGGTCCAATTAATACTGCAACCTGTTCAGACTTATATGTAAGATAGCTTTACACCTAGTTGTCTCAATGCTTTGTGCTTCCAAAATGGCCTGTTTGGCTGCTCTTAAAAGCCAGCTTATAAGCCCTAGTACAGTATTTTTCTCTCCCAAAAAATCAGTCATACAAATCAGCACAAACGGCTTTACTAGTGGGTGATCACTATTTGGTGTTTTTCTTTTATTTTTTCCTTAGCCCAGTACATGCTCGTTTATACTGAATCTTTCAAGGTATTGAAAGCAACACATGGTAACACAAAAATAAAAACGAAAGCTCTGCCACATTAACCTCAAAAAAAAAAAAAGTCTAGTGATGAAAAGTACATGACTGAGCATAGCTTTTCTATATATGCTGCTTGATTGTGCCTGTGATATCAGAGCTTGCTTCGCTATAGGCCTGTTGTGTATTTCTGCAGCTAATAGTTTGTCTGGTACTTTGCAGCTACTTAGTTTAACTGTACAAGTTAGCTTTGTGTGAATTATGATACTTGAGATATTACATGGCGCTTCTCAACTGAAACTCAAATGCCAAAAGAACTCGTATATAGTTTATTGTGAAAGTTCTGAGCTGTGGATGTTCTCCTTGTGAAAAAGTTGTATCAGGAAATAGTGCCAAAGGTCTACAGGTTAGCTAGGTGATGAGGTGAAGTGCCAAAGTTCAGGAAGCAATTACAGGAAAGGGCCCTCAGGCATTTTCATGTGAATTTGTGATGAAATCAGGGGACTGAATATCGAGTCCATTACATGTTAGTTAATAATGAATTTGATATTCTTGCTGGTAAACTAGCAGACTCTCCCTGGATGTTTAAATGATGAATTTTAAGTTTCAAGACAAATGTTTAAGCTATACAATACTTTAGCATTGAATTGTGCAGAAAATATAGCAGAGGGAAAGGTTATGGCGTTTCTATTCCCTGCATCCAGATTTCAGAAGATGATGATGTCTTGCAAGTATGCAACAGTGATGGGCTTTTGTTTGTTGAACTAGATGTAACAGATGGCTTTGGAGTGTCGATGTGATTCTTGGTTCTTGCATCTAAGTTCTAAATCATTATGCTTGTATTAAGGTGCTTATGTTTAAGGTATTGTTGATAGCAGATAAATGCAATTGATCGGATAGTAAAGGCTGATAAACTATTGCTCTCTGTGGGGAACCAACTGAATTACAGTCCTCCGAAGATGTTAAGAACTACGTATGGTGAAACCTTTCATCAAACAAACTCAAATTTGAGGGTACAGTTACAGACTCTTCATGTGAAAATAACTAAGGGCTCGAGGAAAGACAATAAAGGATGGAAGGACACCAAATGAGCGATCACCTCTGCCTAAAATGCACAACCATTTCTCTTTATTCCGATCTCTAATGTGGTATACTTTCTTTAGAAAAAAAGATGTGTCGCTCCGTCGTAGCATCTTATAAGATCGTTTACACTGGTTATAAGGAGTTTGTGACTTTGTTTTCTAGTCTAGTGTAATGACTCAAGTGTACTCCGTAGAGATAAAGTTTCTTTTTTTTGCCGTTGAATAGATTCGAAACTCATAGTCTAAAACTCTAAATATTAAAATGATAAAAGAAAGAAGAAAAAAATTAAGGCAACGACCCATAGGGGTGGGCCCTTTTAACCCGAAAACCGACCCGAACCGAATCCGAATAACATGAATTATCAGTCTATTCGAGTCTCGGGTTTGGTTCTGATTTTATTTTAATTCATGGTACGGGTTAGGCTCAGTTTTTTTATCACTCTGGGCGTTCGGTTTTAACCGACAATTCGGTTCGGTTAATTCGGTTATTTAAAACTTCGGTTTTTAGACTTCAGCCCTCGATCGGTTCTCCAGAAAACTGAAAACCGCAGAATTCGGTTTTGATTTTTTCTATTCGGTTTTCGGTTTTAACCGAAATAACCGAAACTTACATAAATTCAACAAATCAACAAGCTTACAAGCCTCAAGACAATAGTACAGAATTACATAGATTCAAGAGTTCTTCATTATTCAAATAGAGAAGTAGCCGCAGGCTAGCAGCAGCATCATATGCCAGGATCCATTCCATACACCAAGACACCAAGTGGCGAGTGGGCAAGTACTGGAGCATCAGCAGTCCTGCAGCCATCACGTGATCTCAGTTAGTGAATCTCAGCAGTCCAAGAAATATTAAACAGATGAATGTACTTATGTACAAAACCTGCAATATAAATTTACCTTTTACCAAGTGATCAGGACTCAGTAGCTGTAGTAGCTTCCTTAGAAATGGACAGGCCACCAGGTTCTAAAATAAATAAAGAATAGATGATCTAAGTTAGTACAGTGTATGAATCATGAAGCACATTAGAAGCAACTAATAATTTAATATGTTACCTTCCTCAAACAAAAACATTTGTTCGCTGTCCTCTTCAACACTAACATAGTCGTTGACGCTCCAGCTTCAGTTTCTTGAGTTTGAGTCTGATTAATCCCACAAGCAACAGTTTCATCTGTGTCCCCCATCTAGAAACGAAATGTTTCAAATCAGGAATTAACAACAGCAAGGAGAAGAGGAGAAGACCAGAAGAAGAATTGAAGCTCGATCTAAACTTACATTGGAGGACTGCTCCGTCCGCGCCGCCGTTGTCTTGGTCGGAGAACTTCACGAGGGTGTTGCCGGGCGCCTGCCGCGCCTCCTCCCTGGTCCCCGCGACTGCGCTCTTAGCCTTCTGCCTCCTGCCTCCCTTCTCCTCGCCGGCTCGCCGTGACTTGCTCCAGTCGCCCGCCGGCCGCCACCGCGCTCTGCTGGTGCCGTTCGCCGGCACCGCCCCTCGACGATTTAGGGTTAGGGAATGGCGAGCGTCCGAGCGAGCGGGATGAGCGGCTGCGGCGCTGCCTCTGCGCGCTGAGCCGCAGGATGGGGGTTTCCTTTGCGTCTTGATGGGCCATGGAACTATGGGCCGTGAGGGACTGAGGGCGTGAGGCGACGGAGGTGTTTCCACTTTCCAGTTTTCTGGTCTGCAGCATGCACTTCGGTTTGTTCGGTTCCTCGGTTCGGTTTGAGTAGAAAACCGAAGCCGAACACCGAACAGTGCAAAACCATAAACCGAACCGACAACCGAAAACCGAACAAACCGATATTTCGGTTCGGTTCGGTTCGGTTTGCGGTTTGCGGGTAAAAAGTGCCCAGGCTGAGTTTTTTAGGCTCTAAAACCTGAATAGACTGAATAACCTGAATAGGCCTCTCACAAGTTACAAATAGTGAGTGATCTAATAATGTGTTCATACTTGTATTTATTGCTCTTAATCTAAGGTATAAACTGTCAGATTACACAAAAATTGCTATCTTTATTGTATATGTTTTATGAGGTCAAAGAAGACAATATTTGGAAAGAAATGACCAAAGAAATTATTTTTATGTTTGAAGAGCATGAGAAAAAATATTCGAACAACATTTGGTCAATTCAGTGGACCGAATAGATCGAACCGAAATATTTCCATTTTTGGGTTCGGTTCCTATTATTTTTTTCACACCTCCTATATCTCAGTCGATTGATATATACGAGAGTTTCAGGCGATGCTCCGCTCAACGCTCTGCTCCCTCTCTCTCTCTCTCCCTCCCCGACGCCCGAGGGGTATTGTGGATTGATGCATTTCAGTTAAAAGACCCGACGTGGCAAAGCCTTGCATTAAAATAGTACCTGGCCTAGTTATTGTGCTTAAATCATTTTTCGAGTTCTGTATCTTAGGTAGGCAGGCCAGGCGGTGGGGATGGTGGAGGGCGGTTTAGGGGCCCTGGTTGCGGTGGAGGCAGCCAGGTCAAGTCGATGTAGGATCGAGATGGCAGACTAGAGGGGGGGTGAATAGTCCTTTCTAAATTTAATCACGCCGGCTAACCGAAACAAATGCGGAATTACAACAATCGGTCTAGCCAAGACTACACCCCTCTATCGAAGTTCACAAGCACCTTATAAAGATGCTAATTAGGCAATAAAGGTGCCAGGCTAGTTAGAGCTCACCTATCCAATTCTAGGTGCAAGGTCACACAAACCTATGCCACTAGTACTTTGCACACCGGGGACCTCCTACACAATTCTAGTAAGCAAAAGCACAAAGTTTCTAATCTCACTAGCAATGCTCAATAACAAGGCAACCAATGCCAAATTAGAGAGCGCAAATACTTAGCTACACAAACTATGCAATGTAACTAACAAGGTTACACAAACCAAATTAGCCACGCAAGGGAGCTACTTCTATGCCACACAAGCTAGAAGGTAACTAGTGAGCTACGCAAGCTAACTAATTACAAGAGCAACTACACAAGCACAATGTATATGAAAGTAACCACAAGCTTGTGTAAGGGGATTGCAAACCAACGGGAAGAACAATGTTGACACGGTGATTTTCTCCCGTGGTTCACATGCTTGCCAACACGCTACTTCCCTGTTGTGTCGACCGC